ATAAAAATTATCTAAAAAAATTAATATATAATTTATTATTACTTGAAATAATTCTTTGAAATTATAAATGATTTCTTCTTATTGTATAATTAATGAAGATTTTATATATTTTTGCAGGTGAAATTACAAGTAATGTGTTGCGTGTAGCACGAGAAGCCAGAGAGCATACACTTGGTCCATTTAGCCCATCGTTTAATGTACACGAAATATTATTGGAAAGTTTACAAAAAGTATGTTCATGTTATATAAAATATAAACAATATAATAAATATAATTAAATAATTATATTTTATATTAAACAGTTAGAAGCGTTCTACATTTTATTACAAGAAGTACTCTAAAAATGTTATTTGTCTTTCTATGTTTTCTTTTATATTATCAGTATAACTGATATGTACTTTATAAACAAAACATTTGATTATTTTATCTAATACATCTGTGGTATCTTGCTATGAAAAATATCACATCGAAATAAATTGAAATTATTTTTAATTATCTTTCTATTTCTTTCATTCTTCTTGTTTATGAATTTTTTCATTGTTTTAGTTCCTACCAGAAGATGCACACATTCGTGTAAATGGGAAATTACATATTTCTTTGACCAGAGTGTACGATGGGAAAAATGTGATTGTTTCACATTATAATTCAAGAGAAGAGTTACTTCAGGTAGACATTTTAGGGTAATAGCATAACATTTTTAAGCGTTAAAATGTATTCATTATAATTTTATACAGATATTCGTGTATTCATTTATAACATTTCTTATCATATTAGGCTCTATTGGCTTCCTCGTTTATACCGTTTTTTTCCGGTATATTACCACCACGGTTTCGTGGTATCAGATACATAGATGGTGGTTTCAGTGATAATCTTCCAACCCTCGATGAAAATACAGTCACAGTTAGTCCATTTTGCGGAGAAAGCGATATTTGTCCTAGGGATACGTCGTCTCAATTGTTTCACGTAAATAAAATTTGTTTAATTTGTATAAAAATAACATAAATAGAAAAAATATATTAAAATAAATATTTTATTTATATTTGTTTTTCAGGTAATGGTGGCAAATACAAGTATAGAACTTTCTAGACAAAATTTCTACAGATTTCCCAGAATACTTTTTCCACCAAATCCAAAAGTTAATATGCTACAATGACATTTAATCGATAATTATAAATTGTAATTAAATATATAATCATTTTATAAATATATATAATAATGTGTATATTTATATTTCAGATTCTATCCAATATGTGTAAGCAAGGATTTGATGACGCTTTAAGATTTTTACATAGAAACAATTTAATTAATTGTACTAGGTGCCTTGCCGTACAATCTACGTTTGTTATATCGAAGACGTTAGATGAGAGTATTGAATATGATCCTGAATGTTTAGAATGTAAAATACATAGACAGGTTGGATATTAATTGTATATTTTTTTTCTTTCTTCGTCGTTAATCCAATTAATTTACAATAAATTATTATTTTAGGAAGCGTTGGTAGCTAATTTACCAGAAACCGTTTTAACTATATTTCAAGATGCCATAGATTCAGCGAATAAAGGTCTCATCAATTGGTTGTTTAAACATAGAAGTATAAAATTGCTCTCTTTGCTTAGCTTGCCTTGTACATTACCAGCAGATGTAATGTATGCAACATTTACAAAGTGAGTTTGTATGTTACTTAAAAATTAATTTTATTTTTGTATACAGCTTTGATTTCTCTAGTATTTTTTTTTTTTTTTTCTTTATTTTTTGTTTTGTTTTTGTTTTTTAAATATGTTGTTCGCTATTATTTTTTTTTTTAAGAATATCACTTTACTGATCATTGCAATCATTAGAATGTAAGTTCTACATTGCATGATTTTACTACTAACATTATGCATGTGATTTAATAGCTTCATTGGTAACAGAATAGAAACTTATAATGTGGAATATAAAGTAATTGGAAATGTACTTCGCACACCTAAATGTGCGTTCAATCGTGCTAAACATTTTAAATCTTCACGGTAAGAATTAAAGTACTAATACGCATTGTTTATATATTTTTCTTATTGTTTTATATTTATGGTATTGTTATGACAAAGTTTAAGCCAATATACGCACATTGAATGTTTCCTCATTTTCATTATACTTTTTTATCATAGTAATTGTATCTTTAGTAAGTTTTTAAATAAATCCCTAACAATCTCTTATTAGAATATATTATATGAGAATGTATATACTTGTATAAATGAAATAATACGATATTATTTTGTTGTAATAATAGGCTTATATTAAACGTTCCAAAGTTACGAAGTAATCTTGTTGAAGCAAGTAGATATTTCTTGGAACAATTGAGTTACATATTCCCACAAATCAATGTTTATTATCAACCAACACCTCAGACAATCAAGTATCAATTAGCTATTACAGAATATGAATCTAGTAAGTAATATTAATTATTCTATTTTCGTTATGCATTTATATATAGAATGTGAATAAAAGCATGCATTCATTGTATGATACATTATACAGATATTTATGATAAAACACCGGAAAGCAGTGATGCGTTGCGTAAGACTTCTAAGAATTTAAATTTGACGCTAAACGAATTGTGAGTATGCGTTAAGCTAACTTTCAAAAGTAATACTTTGTAAATTTTTGTATTTTTATTTTTTCAAATTGATTAATAATTATATTTTCTTTTTTTCTAGACAATCTTTGAATGAATATAATAATAAAACTAATTGTGTTATCGGAGCAGTGGATGATACTTTTGATAATATAGCACAGGTATGAAATATCCAAAAATATTTAACTATTTGAGTCTTATGAGGTTTTTAAAAAAAATTATATCGACAAATAGCAAGCAACATTGTTGTACATTGCATTTCAATGAAGGTGATACTTTTCTACAAAAAATCTGAACAATGAAATCTCGTTGCTTCTTGGGATTCGAATAATTAAATCCGTGAATAATTAATTACAATTTTTCTAAGTATTATAAACTAAGGAAATAATTAACATTAAAGGTGACTGCGGATCAAGATGCTGTAATAGCTTATTATTACATGGACGAAAATAATAAAGTACAGGTAACAGAAATATATGACGTAACCGACACAGACTCGCATGGAATATTATCCATCGATGAAGTGGAGACCAATACAAAGTTACAATTTGATGGATGGGATGAGCCTACTTGGTTATCACAACATACGTTAAATGATGGTAATATAAATATTTAACAAATTATTTAACGTTAAAGTATGTATTATAATAATTAATAATTATTACGTTTGAATGTGTAGTTACGACAGAATCTCTTTATACCGAAGCGAATCAACAAAGTTTAGAAAATTTGTCTGATATATCATTGGATGACGATATCTTGGACAATCCTAATATTTTTTCTGATCCTGAAAGCGAATGGGGAGTGGAAAAAAGTAAACAAAAAGAAGAACAATTGTACAATCCTCCCGATAGTAGGCCAGAAGTAGATCAACCATCATTAAGTATAGATTATTAAGTAGATTAAAAATATGAGTATATTTTTAATACAAATATTAAATATCAAATTAACAATAATTTTACGCATTTGTCTTAGACGGATATTGGATACTTCTGTATACTTTTTCTATTATTAACGAAACCTTATTTAGGTTTATTTCTTTCTTCTTCTTTTTTTTTTTTTAGTTTTTTTAGAGATAACTTCTTTTTATTGGATACAGCATGCGCGTATCGATAGTATTTCTTTTTTATTTTTAATATTATTATTATTATTATTATTAATGTATTTACTAACTATAAGATATATTATTATCATTATCGTTATAAACTTACCGAGCAAGTGTTCATAGATCTCACGAGTTGACTGAAATATTGGTGGTTAATATTTTATTCTATTAACGGTTAAATGATTAATCTTTAGTAATTCATTTAACATCTTAAATACTTACATATTTTCAAATCGTATTCATAATAAGACTATTTAATATTGTTTTTTTTTTTTTTTTTTTTTTT